GTTCTATTTGCATTTCTGCTCTTTTACTTGATTTTCTGCAAGCTGCCCTAAGCTTCTAAGACAGTAGACACTATGCAAATACTCTAAATAAATGAATAAACATATAAAATTTCCATATTTCTCCCTAAGTCTTTTTCAGGATTCCGTAGCTCAGTCCTTTGCATTTATCGCTATAAATATTTCTTCAAGTTCAGCCTGGCAGCCTGTGTAAATTGATCTAGAACAAACTCCTTCTAAAATGCAGAGGCTAGGCATGTAAATATTCTCAATTATTTTATTCATTTATTTATATCATTTATTTTAGTCTGCTTGCCAGTTAAAGTATTTCCAAAGGAGGTTTCATATCAAGCAACATATTATGGTAATATTAAAAAATGAAATGAATTGATAAGCAAAAAATTATTATTTCTACTCACATTTGGGGGAAAATTGTACCATGTTTCAGTAGAAATTTCAATAGGATGTGGCCTTAGTATATATGATTATTTGCATAAGAAATTACTGTATGCTTAATGATAACCTAATATAAATTAAGCTTGAAAAGATCATAATAAAGCAGAACAGAACTGACATACTTTGAAAAAAATTATATTCACAAATTGCATTAAACCATGTTTTAACTATGGTTTATTAAATAAGCCATAACTGGCTGGGTTCACACAATACAGAACTGTAAACAGTGGTTTACACATAAGAGTGGCATTATCCATAAAGACATAATGTAGTTTGGTTAATTCTAGCTTAACACAACCTGCGAATCCAGTTTCTACATCATAACAAACTGATGAAGATGCAGTACAAGTATTTCTAACAATCTAGTTTTATTGAATATGTTGTCTACCTGCAAGTCTGTCTTGGACACTGACTGGAATTCAGTGGCAAGGCTGATAAAATCCTTCTGACTTTTAACAGAGTTTGAGCAATTGAAATGTTCTTAATTTATCTCAATTTTAAATTATGTGTTAATTGGTATTACTTAAGTAATGGGTTTCAGAAGGAAAATAAACAGTATAGCTGTTATTTTTACATGCAAAGTACATTGTATAATGATATTAAAAATTCTATTTTCCAAAATAATTTATTGATGAAAAGCTGGCTAATAATGTTTTGCTGACCAGCAGCTGATTTCTTTTTAAAATAAACCCAATCTGCTTTGAATTTCTGACCTCTAACCACAAATCCTCCTGTGCAACAGTATGTTTTGACTTCTGAATCAGCTCTAAACGCAATTCACTGGAGAAAAATGTTACATTGCAAGATTTTTTTTTACATGTCTCCATAGTGCCATATGGATCCAGGACACCTGGAAACATTCAGCTATTCCACTGCATGGCTGAAGACTTAGATCATATTCAGTAAAAAAATTAGCAGGACTCCTGCCCATCGAGCAGCAATGGTACTTGTATATTTAGAAATCTTTATATATCACAGAGAAGGAAAAAATGGGGCTTTCATTATTACTTTGGATTAGGTGTCAGGTGTTGGCTGACACTTGAAATTAACAGATGTTCTACTTGTTCCACTCATGAATATTCTGCTTTGCCCCACTACAAAAGTTCCTAACTATGGATTGTGGTGTATTTGTAGGTGGTCCATAACGCTTGGTTTAATTCAACTGTAAAAATATAACTTCTGGATTGCTACATTTCCTTTTCTCACCAAAAATGTAGTTACAGAAGATATAACTAACTATACATAAGATACTTTCTAAAAGCATGTATTTTGTTATGGGTTGTTACCACAGTGATTTTGGAATTTAAAATATGTTCCATTATTTAATACACTAATCATACCAACCTCATTTCATACAACCATATTTTATAATGATCTGCATTTAATCCAATGGAACCCCGTGGAAGTAAGTGTAATCAAGTCCTGCTGGCATGAAATACATTATTTCGGATCCGGTTCGTACCCCGAGGTAGAGTTCGCAAACCAAGGTAAATT